CCGGGCACCTCCCTCCTACCCTGCGATCCCCCGCCCCGCCCCGTCCCCCCCTTGTCTGCCGCCCCTGTGTGAGTTCTTGGACATCGGCACCGCCCTTTCGCCCCCCCCCCCCCCCCCGCGTAATGTCTACGTTACCATGTGCTTGCATGTGCGAGGTGGTTTTTCAGTATTAGTTTTTCTTCTCAGCCAAGAAGTTTGATGTTAATTGATTTGCCTCCAGTTCCTACATGTTCCACTACTTCTTGTCTGTCAACATGTCTCACTTGTGAACGAGTCCTGGAGGCTCGATGTGATTCATCCGTTCGTCTCAACAACGGTTGAACTGAATCGTCGTCGAAACACACGACAACTCTGTGCTGCCGTCCGTCTGCTGAGCAGAAGTTCTGTTGGACTCCACAGAAATGTCAACCATTTTTTATTAGAAATGTAAAAACTTTATTTATCTGACACACAAACATTCAGTCTTCAACAAACAAAGTTTCTGGTCAGACGTGGAAACACGGAGAACATCCGACCCGTTCAGTACCTCAGGAGGTCCGATTCCAACTAAAGTCAGACTTCAGACGTGAAATGGTTGGAATTAAACTTTCATCATTTTAAACGTTTCCCTTTAATAAAAACATTAAGCCTTGAAATAAAACCTTAATTTGAGCTCAACGCTTCCTGCAGTCGTTAAAAGAATCCAAGCAGGGACAAACGATAATCTGCTCCAGATTGAGTCAGATTAAACTGGATTTGGAGTTTTGAACCGCAGCTCTGCTGCACCGTCCACACGCTTCGTCCCACGGCTTCGTCCCACGGCTTCAACCAGAACCGCCAGAACCATTTCGACCCAGAGTAAACCTGACAGAAGACCCGGAGGAACTCCACCAGGACCAGATCACAGATCCAGGATCAGATTCTGTTCAATCATCCGTCGTGTCATAAAGTCGTGCTGCGAGTCGACCTGCAGCCAAGGGGCGGAGCTACACCTGAAGCCCTCACCTGCACAAACCAGTTTATCAAAAAACAACAAACAAACAAACAAACGTGATGTCTGAAGGTCCGCCAGAGTTCAGGCTGACCCGACAGAGGTTCAGAAGATTTTCAGTCAAACAGGAAGTTCTGATCCGAACCAGTTAAATCCATCAAACCGGACCAGGAATAAAAAATAAAGTCCAGTTGCAGATTTAACTTTCTAGGATCAACAAACAACTTAATGTCTTGTTTCCAAAACAAAAATAAAAACAACAACAAAACAACAACAATCTTTAAAGCCGAAGGTTTTTCAGTAGTTCTCCTGACGTTTGGACCAGAACTCGTTAATTTGGCTGCAGCATGCTCTTGATCTGCTTGGAGGTAGTCTCGTCGTTCAGGTGTTTGGTCGTGTACCTGGGGGGGGGGGCGGGGTCAATAAAAGCTTATTGTTGTTTGTTTGTTTTTGTTTGTCGTGTTTACGAACCTGAGAGCGTTGAGTAAACCCTCCACGCTGCTGGGCTGCTGCTCCTTCAGGACTCGGATGCAGCCTTTCATCTGAAAAACATCAAAATATTTTACTAACACCAGAGACATCTGATGTTTTACTAACACCACGAGGTCGTCAGATATTTTACTAACACAAAAAATAATCTTCAGAAAGGGAAAGAACTGTTCAAATAAAGGACTAGATTTTTTCTTGAGTATTAGGTCAAGGTGAAGGTCACAGTGAAGGTCATGATGCAGGTCAGGGTGAAGGTCATGGTGAGGATCATGGTGCAGGTCAGGGTGAAGGTCATGGTGAAGGTCAGTAACGTACGTCGATGTTGGAGGTCTTCACGAAGGCTCCGGCCGGGTGGACGTGGTCGTACAGGATGATGACTCCGACCATCACCCGCAGGCAGAACAACACCGTCTCCTCGCTGGTGAAACGGCTCCGGTACTCCCTTCAACAAACAAACCAACGGTTAACGGCGCCGGTTCATGTCGGGGGCGGAACTTAATGAAGCGTTCAGGACTCACGGCGTTTCCAGCATCACTTTGCAGACGCAGGCCATCGTGCTCAAACAGTCCGTCGTGTTTTCAATCGGGACGTCTGGATTCTGAACGACAAAACAAAGTTTTTTCAAAACACTCAAATTGTTGCAGCTTGTCTTGATGTTGGAGAACAACAGATCCAACAGAACCAGAGCAGAGGTTCTGTAGGGTTCAGAGCTTCAGCAGGTGATAAATGTTGTCGTGCGCCCTCTGCTGGTGGAAGAGCGAACAGCAGGACTGGCCTCTGCTGCCCCCTGCAGGCCAAAACCTTCATGACGCACAGGATTTATAAAAAATGTTTATGTCCTTTAACTTTTAACAAAAAATGTAAAAGCACAATAAAAATAATCAGTTTAGACACAATGCAAATATCACGTGATAAAAATATTAACTTCCAGTGGTAACAGGGATCAACTTTATGTGAGCGTAAGAAATGACAGAAAACAGTTCTTTTCTCTAAAAATGAGCTGAAACAAACAAAAACTAAAAATTTAATAAAAATGTTCTTCTTCTCTTCGCAGGAAGAAACAGGAACTAAAACTTTAATTTAAAAATAATTCATCCACTCCCCTCTAAACATTTTGTGGCTGAGATTTTGGAGTACAGATCTGATACCAAGGGGCCCTTAGCAAAATCTCTACACTGCTCAGTTCATGCCATGAAACCAGTTTGGACTCCGTTAAACTGAAATGGGAAGCGGACTTGGTGGAACCCATATCAGACCCAGTCTGGAGAAGGATCATTAAGAACATTTACTCATCTTCAGTCTTTCTGAGACATACTGTAATCCAATTCAAGGTGGTGCACCGGCTGCACTGGTCCAAAGACAAGCTGTCCAGGATCAAAGCCAACCTGGACCCAGCATGCAACCGTTGTAATCAAACTCCAGCCACACTCCTGCAGACACTCTGGACCTGTCCCAAACTGCTGACAGTTTATCAATCTGTATTTGACACGGTCTCTGGAGTGTGTGACAACTGTTCACCCATCACCACTCATCTCACTGTTCGGGGTGGTCCCTGTGGAGACGTCCTTCAGCAGATGCCAGAGGGATGTGATTGCCTTTGGCTCTCTTCAGGCCAGGGGGCTGATTTTGTGCAAAGGACCCCCCCCACCCCCGGTATATGTACATTGGATAAGAGCGGTGATGCACCATATCCATCTGCAAAAACTAAGGTACACCTAAGGGTTTTGTAAAAAGATTCTGGGACACGTGGCAGCCCTTTGTGTTGTATGTAGAATGTATGTCAGCGCCTGTTTAGTTTGTTTATGCATGTTTGACTGATCCGGTGGGGGGGGTTCTGTATTGTTGTGCATTTAAAACTGAAAAATTTATAACAATTCTTTGTTTAAAAAAACAAAATTCATCCACTAAAATAAAAGCACTTTTAACTCTGACCGTTTAACGAGACATTTTTAATGAAGTAATTAAAAATGGTTCATTAATTTCTCACAATTAAAAACTTCTTCTGGTTTTCTCGTTAGTCACAAATTAAACGTTCAGATTAAAGTCGTTTGTTTTCCGTCTCGGAGAATAAAACGAGTCGAACTCACGTCTGAGACGAACTTGGACGTGGCGTCGCTCAGCGTCTTCAGCATGGGCGTGGCGTTGGCGTAAAACAGAGACATCCGATTGGCCAGCTCGTTGTTGACATCACTTCCTGCGTCCGACTGAAAGACAAGAGGCTGAAAACTCAAATTATAAAGTTTTTAAATATTTCACTCAGAACAAAGACAGAACCGATGACCGGACCGGACAGAACCGACAACCTAGACAGAACCGATGACCCGGAC